TTTTTTAAATTGTAATTTTAATTTTTAATTAGTTTTTAACAGATTCAGTGTGTTTTTTTTAAACTTTTATTTAATGAATATAAATTTCCAAGGTACAGCTTATGGATTATAATGGCTTCCCCCCCATAACGTCCCTCCTACCCACAACCCTCCCCTTTCCCACTCCCTCTCCCCTTCCATTCACATCAAGATTCATTTTCGTTTCTCTTTATATACAGAAGATCAGTTTAGCATACATTAAGTAAAGATTTCAACAGTTTGCTCCCACACGGAAACATAAAGTGAAAAATACTGTTTGAGTACTAGTTATAGCATTAAATCTCAATGTATAGCACACTAAGGACAAAGATCCTACATGAGGAGTAAGTGCACAGTGACTCCTGTTGTTGGCTTAACAAATTGACACTCTTGTTTATGGCCTCAGTAATCACCCTAGGCTCTTGTCATGAGCTGCCAAGGCTATGGAAGCCCCCTGAGTTCACTGACTCTGATAATTTTTGACAAGGCCATTGTGCATATAAATCAATTCATGTAACTTTCTTTTTTTATTTTATTTATTTTTTGACAGAGTTAGACAGTGAGAGAGAGAGAGAGACAGAAAGAAAGATCTTAATTTTTCGGTTGGTTCACCCCCCAAATGGCCGCTATGACCGGCGTGCTGCACTGATCCAAAGCTGGGAGCCAGGTGCTTCCTCCTGGTCTCCCATGCGGGTGCAGGGTCCAAGCACTTGGGCCATCCTCCACTGCCTTCCTGGGCCACAGCAGAGAGCTGGACTGGAAGAGGAGCAACCGGGACAGAATCCGGCGACCCGACCAGGTCTAGAACCGGGGGTGCCGGCACCACAGGCGGAGGATTAGCCTAGTGAGCCGCGGCACCGGCCAAATTACACAAACTTAAAGAATAGACTCGAGCAGCCATCAGCTACTCATGTTTCTATTCAATTAGCTGGATACAGCTAGGCACATAGATGAGAGGAAAACAATTATATTAACATACACATGTAAACGTTAGGTGTGTGATGTATGAGAGCAATTACAGACGTTTAGAATAATAAGATGATTACTTGGAATTATCCAAGAAGGCAATCCATTTCATTAGACTCACAGGTTAGAATTTTATATTCTCCCAATATCTCCCTCACAGAATCAAATAGCATCTATTATATGAATGGAGTAAAGATTGAGTTAATTTCTTTCATGAAGAAATACTAGATTGGGATGAATACAAAAGAATGGAATGGATTCAATACTCATGTTACCTCTCTAAGAACATATAATCTAGATCAGAATACGATATATATCAGAGGGATTTGAGAACTCTATAGGTAATAATAGGTCACAGCTATTATCCATGTTAGAGATGGTGAGGACCAGATCTCACAGACAGCCTTCTGCAAAGAGCGTTCTAAGAATCTTAGGGAGGTGAACTTAGTTTTTTAATTTTTTTTTTTAAATTTATTTGACAGATAGAGTTAGACAGTGAGAGAGAGAGACAGAGAGAAAGGTTTTCCTTCCGTTGGTTCACTCCCCAAATGGCAGCTACAGCCGGAGCTACACAGATCCGAAGCCAGGAGCCAGGTGCTTCTTCCTGGTCTTCCATGAGGGTGTAGGGGCCCAAGCACTCCACTGCCTTCCCGGGCCACAGCAGAGAGCTGGACTGGAAGAGGAGCAACTGGGACTAGAACCCGGTGCCCATATGGGATGCCGGCGCCAAAGGTGAAGGATTAACCGAATGAGCCACGGCGCTGGCTCTGGGAGGTGAATTTAAAGGAGAGTTAACTGAAATTTGTTTTGAGATAGCAGGAGAGAAATGATAACTATGCTTGCAGTTGCGAGGAGCTGGAGAGACTCCTGGAAAAAATTGCTTAAGCAAGGTGCTCAAGAGTAAATGGTGGGAAAGCAGCAGCTTAAAATTGAAATCAGGTAACTTGGTTCATTCAATTTGTTGGTGTTTAAGTAAGGAATAAGGTTAGGGTTTTTCGTTTCTTTGTTTTTCTTACATGGACATCACTCTCTTGCCTTTTTCTGATCCTTCACAATTCTTTCTGTAACATCCCATAAAACTACTCTAATGCATATTCTGTGCTTCACTCTTTTCAATGCCTTTCTCTAGTTTTTCCTTGCACCCATTGTAGTCAGAATTTTACCAAAACCCCTACAAAATCTCGATTCTCTATTTATCACTATCATCTATCATCTATCTATTATCTGTCATCTATCTATCATTTCTCATCTATCTTTCTTTCTCTCTTCCTCAGTCCCCAATTGCTCAAGAGTCATTTTTTAAAAAAAAATCATCCTTCCTCTTTGGAATTGCTTTTGTATTTTTGTCATATACCAGCTGAGCATGTTTATGTAGGCCTATTTCTGGACTTTCTGTTCTGTTTCATTGATCTACATGTCATTTTCTCCACCAACGCTACACCATATTTATCAATCCACAGAAATATTAGTCCTTGATATTTTTACCAACTTCTTATTACTATTATTATTGTTATTAGCAGTAGTAGTAGTACTCTCCTAGTACCATGCTCAGAGCAGATATCCTTGATCTGATCCTCATTTTATATGGAAGGAAATCATTCTTTTGCCAGTAAGTAGATACCTAATTGTAGCTCATTTATATATGCTCCTCAGCAAGTTGATGAAATTCCTCTTGATTCCTAATTCACTGAGGAATTTTGCTACAAGTAGGTTTTGAATTCTGTCAAATATTGTTCTATATTAATCTATGATACTATGATTTTTTCCTTTATTCAGAAAATTATTTTAAATGGCTTCCATTTGCCATAAGAATGACTTTAATCACCCTGTTAGTTTTTAAAAATATGTTCATTGGTTTTAAAATTATATGTTGACTACTTATTGCCTTACGTAATGATTCCATTACCTAGTATTTTGGTTTCTATTCTTTCTAATCAGGAGTCAATCATTTCATTCTCCTGAAAATAATATTTCTAAACTTATGGCTGACTTTTTACTTCTTTCAGATTTTACATTTTCAGAAGTAAATGTCTGATATGCCTAGATGTGATTTTCTTTGTGTTTATCTGGTTTATTGTTTGTAGGGTTTCTTGAATTAGTGGTTGATTTCATCAGCAATAAATAAATACATAAATTCTGTAGCTGGCATTGTGGCATAGCCACATACCCCATTGTAGCGCCAATTGGTGTCCTGGTTGCTCCACCTTCAATCCTACTCTCTGCATACGACCTGAGAAAAGCAGTGGGAAATGGGCCAAGGAATTCAGTTTCTGCTACCCATGTGGGAGACCAAATGAAACTCTTAGCTCCTGGCTTCAGCCTGACCCAGCACTAGCCACTGTGGCCATCTGAGGAGTGAACAAATGGACGGAAGATCTCTCTCTCTCTCTCTCTGTGTGTTTGTGTGTGTGTGTGTGTGTGAATGTTTCCTTCTCTCTGTAACTCTACCTTTTAAATGAATATGTTTAAAATGTTTAAAAAATATTCTTTTACAAGCTCTTCACGTTTAGTGCTTAGACTCCAATTACACACGTTGGACCATGTAATTTCATATTTTTCCATGAGTCCCAGATGGCCTGTTCATCACTTTTGTCTTTGAATGCCAGTTTTCTGATCCTTTGTCTTGCTGTGTTGTCTCCTGGAAAGTTCATCAAATTACTTCTCATTTATGATGTATTTTTGTTTTTAGTTGTAAACTATTTGCTTCCTCTTTGTAGTTTCTTTTGTGTTGCCAAAATTCCTTATCTGATAATATATATCACCTTCCCTTTTCCCATATATATACAAAATTATAATTTGTACAATATTTTATATAGTTATATATATTTATATATAGTTATAACTTTATGCATAGTTATAGTTTGTGCAGGATTTTTATATGATTATATATTCATACACATTTATAACTATGCACATAGTTATTATTACAAAATTTGGCTCCCCAAACTCAGGCAGACATTGAAATCTCAAAGCTTTATGTTAATGTTAATGGATTAACAGTTGATGGATTAAGGATGGCGGCTTGATCCAATCATGGTGTCTGAAGACTGGGCCTTGAAAAGGAATCGGATTGGATTAGGTTTTGGAGATGGAGCCCTATGATTAAATCGCAATGGCTTTATAAGGAGGTGACCTAGGGAAAATAAATGAAGCCTGTGCTCCTTGTCTCTCTGCTTCTTGGCTCAACACTGGTTGGTCCTCACATGTTCTGCTAGCCTCTGCCAGACACTGGACTAATAGACTCAACTGATCCTGGACCATGAGCCTTTAGACCATGAACAAAAATCCTTCCTGGATAGCTCACCTTAGGTGTTTTAGTCATAGTAATGAAGAGCTAATACACCACAGGTCTTCAAAAAGTTCATTAGAAATGTGCATTTTCTTTTCATTACATTTTTCTATGAACTTTTTGAAGTATCCTTACATTTACTATAGTTACTTTCTTCATGTCTTACTTTTAGTGAGGATCTTGGTATTCATGGGTAGACTGTCTATTTCATCTAGTTCCTGAGCCTTTGCTGAAATCCTGCCTGCAGAAATGGGCCTATAAAGAAAGAATATGCTGGTGGTTGCAGACACCTTTGGTTTGGGCCTCCTCAGAGTGTTAATTCCTCATGCCAGCCTTCACAGGACCATTACGTTTGATCTTAAGTTAGGATGTTCTCCTTAGTATTCTCTATGTTTGTTCATACTGGCTCTCAACCCAGATATAAAAGTATCCCTAGGGATCCAGTAGTCCTTTCTGAACTTAGATCATATATGCTCTGTGTTTTATGATTACCTGTATTTATTTAGTTATAAAGATGTACGTGCCAGTCTCTTGCAACTTCTTACAGCTGAATTAGGAAAAGAAAGATCCCCATCATCCTTCTTAATCATTCCTCTAAAAGCCTTCCACTGGCATGCCATCGGCCCTGTGACAGTGCCCATCTTTAAGGTTGACTTCAAGACCAGCAAGGTCCAGGCTTCTGTAACCACCGACCTCCTCTATTGCATTCTCCTTCCCAGTTACTTACTGTCACGCTGACCCTTGGCTCTTCCTCTAACACGTGAGGTATCATCACAGCTCTTCACATATTGTTTCTCTTTGAGGGGAAGCCATTTGCCAATGACAGTATGCATGATTCCTTGTTTTCCTTCAAATTTTGAAACCAAACAAAAAGAGTAAACAACAGCAGCAGTAAAAGAAAAAAAAAGAAGAAAAGAAAAACAGAAGGCGAAAAGAACGAACGAATCAAAGACCTATCTCATAGTAATTGTTCTGGCCACACTTGAAAGTTGCACTTCTTTTTGCAATTTTCTCTCTTTCTTCCTTTTTTTCTTTTTATCTATAGCATTTATTACCTCCTTACACAAGGTGATATTATGTGCATTGTGTGTGTCACATGTCCTAATTTATCCTTCTCTTCCCAATTAAATATCAGCTTCATTCACGCTAGGATTGATATACCTCCAATCCTTAAGACAAAGCTAGCACAAATTAGCTGATTGTTTATTATAATGTGAACACAAAATATTAACACAAAGGTTGAAAACATGATTATCTATTCTGTAATTAGTGATTTATGGCCACTGAGGTAGGCATAAGTTTCACATACGATATCATGAAGTGAGAAACCCTGATAGAGGTGGGCATTGTGGTGCTGTGGATGAAGCCACTGCTTGCAATGCCCACATCCCTTGCCAGAGTACCTGTCTGAATCCTGGCTATTTCACTTCCAATCCAGTCTTCTGCTAACACACCTCAGAAGGCAGCAGACAATGGCTCAAGATCTTCGATCCCTACTACCCATGTAGAAGACCTAGATGGAGTTCCTGACTTCTGGCTTTGGCCAGACCCAGCCCAAGCTTTTAGGGGACTGAAACATCAGTTGGAAAATGTCTCTCTTTCTCTCCTTCTCTCTCTGTCACTCTGCCTTTAAATAAATAAATAAAGCTTAACAACAATGACAAAAAGGAGTGATTTTTTATTGGATGTATGTTTTCTTTTTTTTTTTTTATTTTTACAGAGTTATAGACAGTGAGAGAGAGAGAGAGAGACAGAGAGAAAGGTCCTCCTTCTGCTGCTTCACTCCCCAAATGGCCGCTACAGCTGGTGCTTCACTGATCCAAAGCTAGGAGCCAGGTGCTTCCTCCTGGTCTCCCATGTGGGTGCAGGGCCCAAGCACTTGGGCCATCCTCCACTGCCTTCCAGGGCCATAGCAGAGAGCTGGCCTGGAAGAGTAGTAACTGGGACTAGAACTCAATGCCCATATGGGATGCCAGCACTGCAGGCAGACGATTAACCAAGTGAGCCATGGCGCCGGCCCTGGGTGTATCTTTTCTCATGATATATGTGTTTGTAGTTAGGACAATCTTTTTTTTTTTTTTTTTGACTTTTGTTTGGTGAATATAAATTTCCAAAGTACAACTTTTGAATTATAATATCTTTTCTCCTCATAACCTCCCTCCCACTCGCAAAATCAGGCACTCTAGGGCATTGCTGCTGAACCACTCAGGGTCTTCTTTTCTGACATCCCATTACAAGGCTTTCTGGGTTTGTTGCTGAGCGAGGTCTCAGGTGTTTTAGCCACTGCTGCTCTGTGAACTTCCCTCATCAGAAGAGGCTTCAGGAGGACCCTGGAACTCCTTGAAAGCTGGAAAGTGTTGAGTGTCTGAGACCAGTAACTTGTGGCCCACAGGATGTGAACTGGGTCAGTAGCCAGGACCCTGGTGTCCTCTCCTGTCTCTAAATGAAGTGAGTTTGTGTGAACCCTGGAACCTTACAGCTGTGGTGGAATGAGAAGGCCATGCCAAGGTGGCCACTGGCAAGCGAGCATCAGTTACTCAGGAATGGCTTTGAAACCCACCTGGCAATGGAGCCTGCCTGGCAACAGGCTGTGATTGGATGGCTTTGAATCCCACCTAGCAATGGAGCCTGCCTGACAACAGGCTATGATTGGATGGTTTTGAATCCCACCTGGCAATGGAGCCTGCCTGACAACAGGCTGTGATTGGATGGCATTGGAAACTTCCTGGCAACAGGCTGTGATTGGTTGGGGCATAGACTGCCCCTTGACCGGATTGGCTGGTCTTGGCTATATAAGATGTTGTACCAACTGAAATAAATGAGTCTGCGGGCTTCTTTCCTCAAACCTGCTTTCACCTGAAAAAAAAAAAAAAAAAAAAAAAAAAACAATGACAAAAAGAAATCCTGGTTAACTTAACCAATTGACCCTTTCATTAATATTGTATCTGTTGAATTCTATCTATCTAGTTTAAATGTATAGTTAGGCATCTCCTTAGAAATCCTAAGAATACTACAGACATTAGTGAGTATGGTCTGAAGCATTTTATTTGCTCCTGAAAGAGTCACTGTTCACATGCCTGGGCAATTCCCACCTGTTGAAACAAGGACAGCAACTAAGTACACAGCCCTCACATGATCCAGTCAAGAGGTACTATTGATTTGTGTGTTAAATAGATTTATTTCAAAATGAGTACAAAATAGAAAATAACTTTAGCATTTTTTTCCTCAAACTTGACAACATTGAAAGTACAGGACAACAGGAACTATATGAAGTCATGGGCAAACTCCATATCTTTGCTGGGTGGCCTTTAGTTTGGTTGAGTCAGCCTGGGTTGCTGACCTGCCCATCTCCCCACAGGAAAGGTAATGCAGGACAGCATGACAGTGTGAGCAGTGCTCAGTAGCACTGGCTTACAATCTAAATTATACAAGATACTAATTGTGGAACTACCTCGAATCTCAGTTTCCTTATCTAAAAGTGCCATTACTGATCATATGTGACCAATATATAGCTATAAATATCATGTGTGAAGGCCTGGCATTGTGGAGCAGCAAAGCCAGCATGCAACACTGGCATCCCATATGGGCACCAGTTTGAGTCCTGGCTGCTCCGCTTCTGGTCCACTTCCTTGCTAATGATCCTGGGAAAGCAACGAAAAAATGGCCTAGGTGTTTGAGCCCCTGCCATCCGTGTGAGAGACCGAGGTAGAGATGCAGGCTCCTGGCTTTGGCCTGGCCTGGCACCTGCTCCCATTGATGTGGCTACTTCGGGAGTGAACCAGCAGAAGGAAGATCTTACTCCCTGTATGTCTCTAAATAACTCTGTCTTTCAAGCAAATGAATAAATCTTTTTAAAAAATTGTATGTATGAAGAACCATGCATGTGCTAGGATCTCAACTGATGGGAGTTAGTGAAGCAATTAACGTTTTTTAAAGGGACCTGTGCTTGTAATTAGTGTCCATAGAATCCATGGTGACTAAACATGCAAGTTAAGTTTAGTCACTATGTTAAGTTCTCCAGCTTTCCAAGGACCTCTGACCCTTGGGGATATTCTGGAGAAAGGCTTTGTAGGACTACCAATGTGAGAAACTTATGTATATTTGTGAAACTTAACAACAATGAAAATATTTACTAATCATTGGCATATATTTTTAAATATAATAATATCAAGCCAACTATTTTTACTCAGAGGTATATAGAAGGCTTCATACATTTTAAAATATATTAAGTTATGAAATAGTCTAAATTAACTGTGAATTTTGTATCATGTAAAAATGGATTTGTGTACCTATTAGTTAATACTTACTGAGATTTGCCAAGTCTTCTCCAAGTGACCAGCAAATGTGAAAATAGCCCAGTGCTGTCTGATGGTTGGGGAGGAAGATCCACCTGGGCAGAAGGTGGGAGATGAGGATGAAAAGCAGATGTGCACACCAGGCACTAACAAGGGGCAAACAGAACATAAATGTGGTTATCTGTGCAGCAAGGCCTCCCAAGTGCATCTATCATTGCAAGTTGTCATTGTGAAAAAACCTTGGGATAGGTTCTATTATTGTCCTTATTTTACAGGTAAGTAAACTGAGGAACAGTTAGGTTGAATTATTTATTCCACTTCACATAGCTAATCAGTAGGGGAGACAATGAAAACTCATACAGAGCAACTCTGCACACAAACGAATGAAAATAAGTACAATCTGTACGCTCAGACTTTGACCCTTTAGCAAAAAACGAGTATAGTGAGATATCCACACTTATGTGTCTTGGTATTTCACAGCCCTTACTCACTGTTTCCAGGAAGTAATCACTTTTGTCCAAAGAAACTGGAGAAAGACTGGCCATCCAACTTCTTTGAAATTAAAGGTGTGCATTAATATATTAAGGCTCTGAGAAACCTGCAGTAGAAAGAAACCACTTAACAACAAAAAAAACCTACTAACAATATTCTCTTCTGCACATTAATCAAGAGCTCTTGAAATGTTGCCCTCTCAACATCACCTTACGAAGTATGACTTGAGGTCATTTTCAAATTAGGACTCAAGGGTGTCACCACTGAATTTTCTTCCACAGAAAGAGCCAGTGCATTAATGAGCCTTGTGGCGCCTGCTCCTGTCTTCATTAGCCTCTCGCTAGTGAGGTTTCTGACGTAGTCCTGATTCAGATGTTATTATGTGGTTACTGTTTTCTGGCATGGGTCAACCCCAGGGAACTTGAATATGTAGGTTTATGGTGTTAGAGTGAGGCATTTTCCATTGAAAAAGTATTGTTCCCAGTGTTTCTTAGAAATCTTAGGGAAAGATTGCAAATGAAAGAATTTATATTCAACTCCCAGTTGAAAATTCTAAAGAATGAAGAACAGAGTGCATAACAAAGTTGGCCCATTTTCCAACGGGAGGAAAGCAGTGTGTTTGGAGGTCTGATCTAAGCTAAGTCAGTGATGTGGACCTAGGTTCCTTAATTTTTTCTCCAGTTTCTTAAGTTCCACAGAAATAATAATCAGAAGGGGAGACAATATACAGTGCACAAGTTGGGGCAGAATTATTTAAAAGTAAGAGGGCACACCGATTCACATATGAGTATGAGCCACCCCACATGGAGAGATACCTATCATGAGTGAGCCAGAGAGTTGCCTATGATGAGAGATAGAAGGCCAGAGAAGAGTCCCCAAGCATTATCAGAAGCCAAAGAGGAGCCTTCCCCATGTGTCAGTGTAGGAGGTAGGGGCTGGTGCCTTAATTGAATAAACAAATGGGGTTGGGTTGCAGCATGAATGAAGCTGGGTTTTTTGTTTTGTTTTGTTTTCTCTTCTTTTGTTTTTGAAGATCTATTATTTGAGGAGGGTGGTGTAGCTGGTAAAGCCACCACCCGCAGTGCCAGCATCCTATATGAATGCCAGTTCAAGTCTCAGTTGCTCCACTTCTGAGCCAGCTCTCTGATATGATCTGGGAAAGCAGTAGAAGATGTCTCAAGTCCTTGGGCCCCTGCACCCTTGTGGAAGACCTGGAAGAAGCTCCTGGCTCCTGATCGGCCTAGCTCAGGCCATTATGGCCATCTGGGAGTGAACCAGCGAATGGAAGACCTCTCCCTCTCCATCTTCCTCACTCTCTTTCTCTCTCTCCCTCCCTTTGCCTCTCTGTAACTCTGCCTTTCAAATAAATAATTAAATCTTAAAAAAAAAGATTTATTACTTGAAAAGCAGAATTAGAGAGAGAGATCTCCGTCTACTGGTTTACTCTCCAAATGGCCACAATGGCCGGAGCTGAGATGATTTGAAGCCAGGAGCTTCTTCCGAGTCTCCCACATGGTGCAAGGAACCAAGTACTTGGACCATCTTCTGCTGCTTCCCCTGTTGCATTAATGAGGAGCTGGATCAGAAGTGGACCAGCTGGGACTTGAACTGGCACCCATAGGGGAAGCTGGTGCTGCAGGCTGAGGCTTTACTCACCAAGACACAGCACTGACCTCTTCTGGGGTTTTACAGAGTCTCCGGGTAGGGTTCAAAATCCATGTGATAATCATGGTGCCTCCTCCTTTCTGGTCCTTGATGAGACACAGATGCATCCTGCAAAAGTAGGCAAACATGATCCATGAGCCCTAATCTTTGTGTATTCAAATGAATAGAGACCATCACAACAGGTCCATTCTCAATCATATGTGGCATCAAGAAAAGATGATCTCATGGAGACAGGGAATAGAACAGTTGTACCAGAGGCTGAGGAAGGCAGAGGGCAAAGGAGGGAACAATGGATGCAATGTGAAGGTTAGGTAGGAGAATTAAGTTTCCATATCCCTTAGGACACAGGAAGGTTAACAAGAATGTAATGTGTATTTCAAAGTAGTTACAGAGGGTTTTGTGAATGACTACATCACAAAGAAATGATGAATGTTTGAGGTGATGGATATAGTAATTACCCTGATTGGATCACTGCAGAATATATATATGTATGTGTGTGTATGTATGTGTGTGTGTGTAATCACATTGTACCCAATTAATAGGTACAAATATTATCTGTCAATTGAAAGTAAAATAAAGCGGATAGTGAGAGCAGCACACACACACACACACACACACACAAATCAGGCTAATTTTATCTGAAGAAAGGGAAGACGATTAAGCAGGTGAGGAGGAAAGACAGACTGAGTCCTGTTGGTGTGCACTCTAGATTGTGAGAGTATTATGTGAGGAGGAGAAGACAACAAACATGAAAGCACGCAGCAGTGGCTTCAGAATACTGATTTTTTTTTCCTCTGCTCATGTCTCTTTCCAGCTCAGTGCCGCAGCTGCTTCATCCGTAAAGTGGGTTCTTACATCTTTTGATTCTGCTGGAGAACTTTTCATTTGCGTATCCCCAGATCCTTCCAAAGACTTAAGTGCCTGAATGAGAATATGCATAATCAAGAGAAAGCGACTTGGAAAAGAGGTCACAGTTCAGATGAAGGGAGCACTTATAGGTGCTCACTTACACAGGAGCAAAGGACTTGTGCAGTTTTGACAGATGGGCATTTAGTTTAGTTCAGAATTCCCTAGAAGCTACTGCCAGGAGAGACAATTTAGAGGCCATAAGGTTTCTAGCTTGACTGCCTCTCTGATTCTTAGAAAAGTAGTTTTGGTGTCAATGTGTAGAATACACCCTGTGCAAGCTCACTGTGAAGTCTGCCACCTGCAGCAATGCATGGTTGGACTGTGCATCACACCCTTGTGGACAGCTCTCTCCAGCCTATTCTTCTACAATATCCATAGATAAACAGGGCAGCCTTGTTGATATCCAAACCAGTAACACACTAGAGGCAGGACATCATGGTGGCCATCTCTAATACACTGGTCAAAAAGAAGCCAAGTGTATTTTTAGTCATTGCTTTTTGCAGGGTGCTCTATCACCTGCCTGACCCTGTGCCTTGTACAACACGAATGTCTCTCTCATCCAAAATGCTTGCAGACAGAAGTGTTACAGATTTTGTACTTTTTCAGATTTTGGAATATTGGCATGTAGGTAATGAGATATGTTGAACAGGAGACCCAAGTCTAAACATGAAATTCATTTATGCTGCGTACGCACCCTATCTACACAACCTGGAGGTAATTTTATATGATATTTTACTGTACCTCTGTTTTGATTGCAACTCAGCACATGAGATACGATTTGGAATTTTCCATTTTTGGCATGATGTCAATGCTCAAAAAGGTTAAGATTTGGAGGCATTTTGTAATCTAGGACTTCTAGATTAGGGATGCTCAATCTGTATGCTTTTATGAACAATAAATGCAGAGAGTATAGCCCCTACCAGAAAAAGTTTCTGATTTGGAGAAAAATAATTTTAGTTAAATGTCATTTATCTCTACTGAAGAGACTATACTTAGATGACTTTTACAGTGAAGTGCACTGTTTATTAAGCTGCTTAACGGGAAATGTGATTTCCTCAGTGCCCTTAGGGTGATGTAGTAGAGAATATTCCACTTGCCAGCCGCTGACTCTTTTCTTTACCTGTCCAATCTCAATATGTTCATTCATATATTAAAGTGAATAATGTCTGTCTTGTACATACAGTGATGGTTAGCAATGTGTTTATTTTATCCACTTAACTGGTGTTGACTGGATGACTATTAATCCAAGCACCATGCTAGGCATCAAATCAGAAATAGAAAAAAGATGATTATTTTCTGGGAATGATGTACTTGAAACCTGTAAAACAGTTCTTAATAGTATTAGTTACTGTTACTGCTTAGAGAAAACGCTTGTATTTTCACTAAAACAAGAAATACAGGCTATAATAGGTCTGAATATGAGTAAAATGCTATGTTGAGTATTAACACAATGTCTTCCCTATTCTAGTGTCCTTACTGATATTTAGAAAGCTATGTGGCAATGTCTGTAACTACAGTTTGCTTAAAATGTAAAAATCCATCTGAGGGAAGCCCCTGAGGTTACATTTTCCTGCTATAAAATATCTGAATGTAAGATGTTTATTCATAAAAATATTCCTGTGGCATTATGCTAGGTGATCTGAAATGTACAACAGATTCTAGAACATGATTTGTGTGTGTGTGTGTGTGTGTGCTTGTAGAACAGATACAAACCATTAAAAATGTTGCTATAGAACTACTAATTTAAGCAGAGTATTGTATGGAGAACTGAAAGATGGATGCTTTCTCTGGGCAGGCTCTAATGGCCAAATGACTTCCTCTCTGGGTGAAAACTTTTTTAAAAAGTCATTCCTTTCTCTGGGTGGGTACAGTGTTCTTCCCTGGCACATGGCCTGGGGAATTAGCATATGCTAGCCTAGCTGGATATTGGCCCCTACTCATCCTCCTGGCTGGGCTGTTTTGAGCAGCTCCAAGACTACAGTAAAGTACATGCAACCCTGAGTTAATGCCACTAGAAGCAATGCCCATGCAGTAGGAGATTAAAGACTAGTGAGGCCACATTGTCCTTACGTTTTTCAAAGGAGAGAAGTTCTCATTAGATTTTGTTTTTCTAGAAGGCTTTAGGAATGATGCATAGAACAAATTTAATTTTGGAGAATAGGTAGAATTTGCATAGACTGAAAAAGTCTTAGAGCTATTGTGAGTTGGGTAGCCCAGAAAAATGGGACAGAAGTAGGAAGATGGGAGAGGGAAATTTGTAGGAACAGCTGGTGAAAGCATTTGGCTAGAACTGCTGTTGTGAGAGTGAGAATTAGGCCATAAGACTGGAAATGCAGCTGGTGCCAGCTGACACAGAACTTTGAATATTAGAATAAAGAACTTAAAATCTATCCTTTAGGCAACAGCAAATCACTGAAGCCTTGAGAAAATGATTGATATAATTAGAAGGAATGATTTTGGAAAATAAAGACTTTTTTTCATTTCTCTTAAAGTGGAAATCAGTAATTTATGGTTGTTACAAAGAAATGTAAAATTGCAGATAAGATAAATAAAATCACCTCTAATTAACTATACAGAGATAATAAATATTAATGTTGTGATGCTCTTAAATCTAGATTCATTCCATACATATAAATATGTGCAATCTAAAAATGGAATCATAATTAGTGTAGTATTCTTGAAATGTTTGTCACTTAACCAATAAGTACTTACAGTTACTAAGAACACTGAGGTTAAACTTTAATCCATGCCTTACAGGTTATAGAGATACATATACTCATACATACAAGATATGTATACAAGGTAAATACAAACAATGCAAACATAAAAATATAAGTGTAGGGGCCGACGCTGTGGTGTACAAGGTTAAACCCCTACCTGCAGTGCCAGCATCCCATATGTATGCTGGTTCAAGTCCCGGCTGCTCCACTTCCCATCCAGCTCTCTGCTTTGGCCTGGGAAGGCAGTGGAAGATGGCCCAGGTTGTTGGGCCCCCGCATCTATGGGAAACCTGGAAGAAGTTCCTGGTTCCTGGCTTCAGATCGGCACAGCTCCATCCGTTGAGGCCAACTGGATAGTGTACCAGTGGATGGAAGACCTCGCTCTCTGTCTCTCTCTGTCTCCCTCTCCTTCTCTCTCTGTGTAACTCTGACTTTCAAGTAAATAAATAAATCTTTAAAAAAATAAGTATAAGCCTTCATTTGGGCCCAAGATACAACAGAAGTGCATAGCAGGGAGGAAGGTGAAGTGAAGGGCGTGAGCACCAGACCCAATGAAAGCAAAAGGGCGAAGGAACTCTCCTGGACAGGCGTTTGGGGGCGCCCTCGAGACGCTGTGCAGGATGCCCACATTCCATACCAGAGTGCCTACACCCAAGGCCCGGCTCCACTCCCGAGTTCTGCTTCTTGCCATCCTGGGAGATAGCAGCTGATGGCTGAAGTGCTTGGGTTCACATCACCCACATGAAAGACCCAGGTGGAGTTCCCAACTCCTACCTTCAGCCTGGGTCATCCTGGCTGTTTCAGGCATTTGGGGTGGGAATCAGCGGATGGAAGATTTCCATCTGTCTGTCTGCCTGTTTTTCAAATAAACAAATAAGAAACTCCAAAACAACATAGGGCTTGAACAAAGTGAAAATAATTGATATATTTAAGATTTTTTTTTTTTTTTTTTTTTTTTTGGGCAGGCAGAGTTAGACAGTGAGAGAGAAAGACAGAGAGAGAGTTATAGACAGTGACAGAGAAAAAGGTCTTCCTTCCGTTTATTCACTCCCCTAATGGCTGCTACGGTCAGCGCTGTGCCTATCCAAATCCAGGAGCCAGGTACTTCCTCCTGGTCTCCCATATGGGTGCAGGGACCCAAGCACTTGGGCCATCCTCTGCTGCCCTCCCGGGCCACAGCAGAGAGCTGGACTGGAAGAGGAGCAACCGGGAGTAGTACCCGGTGTCCCAGCCAGGACTAGAACCCGGGGTGCTGGCACCGCAGGCGGAGGAATAGCCTAGTAAGCCACAGTGCTGGCACGATATATTTAAAATTTTAAAATCAACACAAGAAATTATAGACAACTTAAAATTAAAAAACAGTGGGCCAGCACTGTGGCACAGAGGGTTAACGCCCAGGCCTGAAGCACCGGCATCCCATATGGGCACCAGTTCCAGACCCGGCTACTCCACTTCTGATCCAGTTGCTAAGACCTGGGA